TATGTCATAACTTACCTGTATATAGTAAAGTGTGTCGCCAAGGTAACCGGTTAAAACTCAAAGTGGCGATGAGGTCTTCAAATGTATGGAAAGGGTCTTAAAAAAGGTCTTACATTTGACTTCAGGATTCCTGCTTATACCCTCTAGACAACACTTGAATGACATTAGTACGATTAACAGTTTATACTACGGTATTAGCTCAGCAGTATAGTATAAAGGTTTGCAGTCTTTAAATTAGCCCGCTGACCTTCACAAAGCATTTATGTCCCAAGTAAATGAAAAATTATAATAGTTTATAGGTATTCTACCTACACTTGCGTTTCATTTTTTGTTTGAAATGTGCTGTTAATTAGAACATGTTAACATAACAAGAGAGTTAGACCTCTATAGTGGCTCTATGTGTCGGTCTTTAAGGATCTCATTTACTGTTTAACAAGAAGTTACTCAATATGTAGACCAGCAAAGGATTTAAAAGAGCCAGCTACAATCTCCAAAAATAAAAACATAAAACTTGATTTTGGATGACTGAACATATAGATCCCTGACATACCCTTTATTAGCCATATATGTGCAAACTGAAATGTATAATTTCATTTGTTTATAAAATACTTTATTTCAGACGTTTTTATTGTATTTTATTTCATAGCTTGCCAACATATTTTGCTTAAACAAATCAAATTAAACCCTACACGCTTTATAGATTTCTTAAATGTATTTTCTGTCCCTTCCTTAGCGCTGCTAGAGGCCGCTCTCGGGGTGTTTTACGCCCCCCCCGCCCCTCTCTCAGACGTGGTGATACTGGAGTTCAGGGAGCCCATCAGCAAGTGTGCCCGCCGCTTTTTTCACCACCTTCTCAGGTAACACCACCCACTCTGTGCTGCTGTGGTCCTCATGTGATCGTCTGATGGAGAAAATTAGCTTTGCATAACTCTACAGGGGGAGGGGTCAAAGGTCAAGGTCGGGTTCTATAAGAGCTTAGTGTATTTAAATTACATACATAAACATTAGCTGCTGCATATGTTCATGGAGTCTCTACATACACAGACTATTTCAAGGCATTAGCAGAATAATCAGAATAAGAAAAATCGTCCAGAAAAGGGTCTTTGTGGGATCATCACAGATACAATTTAACACCGCCTATTTGCCGCTGTGTTGCTATTTAAAAAATGCTAAAAAGGAAATAGCTTTTGAATTTCGTTGCAGGCACAGCTTTGAGTCATTCACAAGGCAAAGCACCTCACATGCACCTGTTTAGACTGTTGTTTCATTCTCCCTTCTGCCATGAGAGCCTTTTGAAACGGCTGTTTGACTGAAATAGACCCTGTTGTTCCCACACACTGCTCAGCGCTCTCCATCCTGCATCACCTCCCGTTTCCCTCTCTCTCTCTCTTTCTTCTTCCTCTGTAGCTCCAGCCTTGTTTGGCATCCCTCCTCCTCTCCTCTCTTATCACCTACCTGCATTATTTTTCTCTCCATCAACATCAAATGAAGAAAGCCCCCC